TGTCCTAATGTTACATGGCAGTAAAGATGACATTAGGATCCTGTTTCCCTTGTGACTCCTTGAAAGGGTGGAATTCTTATCTGCTCTGTCCTACTAATCAGAGGTTTGTGAGGATTTGCCTTTGTAGGTGTTTGGAAACATTTTATAAGACAAGTTACCTTAGAAAGTAACACTTTATGAGGTAAAATCTTAATAAATCTGTTTGCAATTTGAAGCCTAAATTGAAGACCTGTCGGTTAAAATTGCTTTGCTGTGGGGAAATGTCATTTTGGGCGATGAAGAAGTTATGGCTTCTTGTAGGTAAAGCTCAGCACCAGTGTAGATTGGCATGAAAATAGTCAGTGGCTATTCACCAGAGACAGAACATATGTATATATACTTAGCTACTGCTGTAAAGGATTAGAGTATATTGCCTACACTTAAGCAAATTCTCATGGCATATAGTGGGTCTACAGATAATGGTACATCCTCTCTAGCCACATCATATAGGACTTTGTTCAGCAGAGCACTTAAGTACACAATCCTGAGGTCAAGTTTCTCATCAAGCACTCATTACTTCTTTTAGAAAGCACATATAGAGGAATTAAGACAGACTGAGAAGTGATAATTGTGGCTTTGTAAAGGAGACAGCCCTTGGATCTGAGTGTTATAAAAGATTCCACACTGAAGTGGAGAAGAATTGCAATAAAAGCTTTAGCAAGTGAGGGGAGGAAAAAAGAGACATATCTTTCCACAAAACAAAACTCTAAAAGCAGCAAGTGAAAAGGGCAAGACAGAATGTCAGTGGAAGTGCATTCACTGTACAAGCAGCAAATTCTTTTATTGCATAAGAATTCAAGTTGTTTTTTTTTTTTTTTAGCTTCAGCTAAACAAAACCCCTCAATGACTAAAACAGCTTTGCTAATAGAGTCAAAAGAAAAATATCAAAGAGAAAGCAACATTAGAAAGGAGCTGGAATGAATGACAGGCTGTTAAAGAATGAATTGCTGAAGTTGTTTTGTATCAATGAGTTTTTAAAAAAAGACATGGAGGAAAGATTGGGAAAATAATGAAAATCTGATAATATTGATACAAGACCATGTAGAAAAGAACACTCCAAGATTTAATGCATATAAATAAGCATGTCCAACTGATGGTCATTAGAAGCTGCTGCTTACGCTGAGGACAGTTGTTAGATCCAAAATACTTTTGAAAAGTTGCCTTTTTAAGTCCAGAAATGGAACTGCTTTATGGGGCTTAGAAAACCTGGTACTAAGGAGCAGTAGAGCTATGGATTTTGGGAGAGACAGGAGAGCCTAACAAACCAATGGCATTCTAGGCTATATCGCAAGAAGCTTGGCCAGCAGGTTGAGGGAGGTGATTCTGCCCCTCTACTCCACTCTCAGTACTGCATCCAGCCCTGAGGTCCCCAGTATAAGAAAGACATGGACCTGTTGGAGCAAGTCCAGAGGAAGGCCACAAAGATGATGAGAGGGCTGGAGAACCTCTCCTGTGAGGACAGGCTGAGAGAATTGGGATTGTTTGGCCCGGAGAAGAGAAGGCTCTGGGGAGACCTTATAGCAGCCTTCCAGCACCTGAAGGAGGCCTACAGGAGAGATGGGGAGGGACTCTTTATCAGGGAGTGTAGTGATAGGACAAGGGGTAATGGTTTTAAACTGAAAGAGGGAAGATTCAGGTCAGATATTAGGAAGAAATTCTATACTGTAAGGGTGGTGAGACAGTGGAACAGGTTGCCCAGAGAAGTTGTGAATGCCCCATGGCATCCACATGGCCTGACATTCTTTGCATCAAAAAGCAAACCTTTAAATTTGGCTATGTAAAAATACATTTTGTTTGAGTAAGGCTTTTCTTACGGATGTGTCTGACCAGCTACATTTATTTAGAATTTTAGTGCTGGGAGCATCACACATGCAGTTGCTCTGATCTGTGTAATCCCCTTTTTTCCTTGTGCTGCTTTCTTGTACAGTGAGTTTGAGCATCTCAGTGTTCATATTAAAATATTTTGGTCTTCAGCAGTAGAAAGGTGAGGAGGGTTTTCCTTGAAAGAATTAGAAACAGGTAGAGTTCTGAAAGGAGTGTGTTCCAAGGAAAAATGGAGATGACTATAATTGCACAATTTAAGCAATATTTGAGGAGAGATATCGTAATAGTCTGTAAGAATTACAAGGTTGTAAACATAAATGGGGGATAAGAATTTTATAGGAAAGTCCAGAGGATGTCAATTAGTATTTTAAAAGTAAACAAGGCGGGGGGAATTAATCTAAGTAGCTGTATAATCATTCTCAGTGATAGATGTTAGAGTGGAAATACTTCTTAATTAAAAGTGCTGGAAGGGGAAAGGATCAGTTTGATAAATTTTCTAGTTTGGGAGAAGAAGTTAGAAACTGTTGAATTGAAAGCTACCTATTTTGTGGCTTGTCATGGTATAAACTTAGAAATTTTAGCTATTTCTAGATGTCTAAAATGTTTAAAAGAAAGTGATATATGTTATTCAAAATTATTGAGATTTTGCACTTGTTTTTAGCTTTAATTTGGAGTGAGAAAACTGTTTTCACATCTTAAAAAATGCATTTGCTTTTCATGATTTCATAATACTTATGCACTGTTATTCCTAGTGAATTATATCCTATTTCCCTGGTATCTTTTCTCTATTCTTATCTGGTTTAATATGTGATTTGGTACGCCTCACTCTGATCTCTTCCAGCCCCCTTTGTTTTTCCCTGATCAGTGTTCTGTGTCATGTACATTTTGCTTTCAGTTTTCACTCATTAAAATGACTTTTCTCATCTTCTGCTTCACTGCATTGTTGAGGACTTGCCACTTCTTTTCCTCGCTCTCTCTGTTCTTACTCATGGTAAATGAAATAATTAATGAAAGCAAAAATCCTGCATACAGAATTTGACTATTTCTGACATCACTTGGAAAGGTGAGGTTTTGTGGCAACCTGGAGACACCTTGGCATTTTTATAATGCTTAAGAGAAAATTTGGCATTTACGTCCCTGGGAAAAGGTATTTCAAAGCAAATTCTCAACCAGTGGAGTGGAGGAATTGTCAGCACTTTTCTTTGGCTGAAGATCTGTTCTGCATTTCTGGAGTCACTTATTAAATGAACATAAGAGTAGAGTCAAGTTCATCAAACAACATCTGGTTGAATGAAAAATGGAAGTAACCTGTTCTGAGGACAATGTTTTAGATGCTACTCCCCATCAGAAACGTCCTACAAAAGGTAAGTACTCTGAGGAACACCATGGCAGACAGGTCTGCCACCCTTTCATCTGTGTCAAAGTATGTTTTCCTTCTGAACAAGATATTATTGATTTGCTCTCCTACCCTCTACTACTTCGTATATTTTTACCCAGGTTAACCAATCTCCTAAAACCTCAGTGACTATTAAATCTGCAGTTGGGCCAAACATGTTGTCTGGTGGCACAACAGAGCCCTCCTAAAGTCACAGTGCACTGCAGTAAGTCTGGAGAGACCAAGTGAAGAAAAGTGGGTAGTCAGTTTTAAATATTACAGGTGACATACTCCAAAAATCTTCTCCACAACGGGATTTTTTGGATGATTTTCTCTCAGTATGAAAACTGAAAATAACGAAAAAGTTAAACCACCACCACAAAGAAAATGTAAATCTATCATGAAAACACTAAGTATCTTTCTAATCTTATGCCTCTGATATTTCTCTGTGGTTGTCTCATGAAATCAAAACAGAATGTGGCAAAAAAAAAGAAGGAATATTTTATTACAGTCTTTCAAAAGTCTTTCTGTTTTGAAAAATTAAACCAAATTATGTTTAATTCTGAGAAATTTCTGAGAAAATTCTAGTGAACTACTGAAACTTTTTTTCCTCATGTTCATAGAAAATTTGCAAACTTGTTGTCAGTTTCTCTGATTAAGCAGAAATTAAAATTGACGTTAAATAATTTTTCTAGTCATTTTTATTGATTCAGTTGAAATTCATTACAGGGTTACATATTGTTCTGTAACAGAATTCGTTACAGAAAAAGTTACAAGGTTATAGGCTATTTCACAAGGAAAACCCAGTCCTAATTGCCTGGAAAAGCTGGTTTCAGTCTACATATTAGTACACAGTAACTAGGAAAAAGAGTCAAGTGAAGCATAGAAGCAGACTTGGAAACTGCAGAAGTATGAAAGGATATAATAGAACAGGATATTAAATAATCAGATATATAATATCTAGCAGAAACTTAATTTTGTGTAATTGCCAAAATAGCAGTTTAGTGTCAAATAATGAATAATATTATAAAAGGATTAGTCTGATACTGTGTTCCAGTTCATAAATATCATATTTTATTGTTCCATAGCTTACATAATTTTTTAGGTGAGATAACAGTTAATTTTCACTTCTTGCATACAAATCCTTGCATTCATTGCCCAGAGAAATGAATGTCTTGCCTTAGAGATTGTCTCAATTTTATATACCTGAATGAGTCAACAGTGAGGTTTTTTCACATCTGTTTTCTATCTTCTTGTTTTGAAGGAGAAATAACAACTTTTTTTGGATCTCCAAGTCTATTCACTGTAGGTCAGATTCCGCCGTAAGAAGCAGTTGGCCTTGGGGAACTTTATTCTATATGGGTTTTATGGACTTTGTGGGATTATTTGTAGCATGACCTACCACTCACACTCACTGTGAGCAAGTTTGGGAGCAGAAAAGCACAAGGTGTGCTATAGCTTCTGTTCTAAAATAAGCCTCAGTTGAGAGTTATGTTGAGCCTTACCTGTGTGATATTATTAGCTACCGTTGTTCTTCACAGTGCTGTTACAGATCTCGGAGGTACTGTAGGGACTGTATTCTAGATCTTCAAAATAGCACAGCGAGTACTTGCACACATCGATGATGGTCATATTTATATGACCATATGACCAGGCTTATATTATCCATGAATAACAACTTTTGCTGGACTGATGCCACCCAGAGCAATCCCACGTTCTATTGTGCAGGGTATGTTTTAATGAAGGAAAAAAAACCCCAAAATATCTCCACTGGTGTCTTTTATTAAGTAATGCAAAATACAGTATTAATTATGACACTGCATGCATTTTAGACAATATAAATGCAAGCCTACAGAAAATGTGACAAAGAAACCCTCAATTAAGTTTGAGGTAGTATACAAGGAAAAATAGGAAAGCAGAAACACAGTGGATTAAAAGAACAAAATATTAGTATCACTTTGTGCATACATTAGTCACTCATAAATACATTTGTATGAAATAACTTAAGATACAATTCCATTCTTGTTAAAAAATATACTTCTTCAAATTCACCGTTCTTGTTTGTTTTTTTTTTTTCTTTTCACATGACATTTTATGGTATTTTATCAGGTGGATTTATTTTTGATCACTGCTGTCATGGTTTTACCCTTTTCCTCCAAGAGTTTAGGCACAGATGGCCTCATGCACAAAAAATAAATAAGAAACCTGCTTGAAGGGAAAAGAATTCTGCTCAAATAGCTTAGGATAGTCTAATAAATACCATTTTGTTTATAAAAATATTTCAGGTTTACAAAAGAGGGGAGGGGACGGTCTCCCACGTGGAAAGGATGTTAAGTGAAAAGTGCTGTATAACATTTTTGAAGAGATTTCGTTTTAAACATATAGTACCATTATGAATATATATTTTATAATAATCCTGTTTCTTAGAACCTTATTGTTCACTAGAAGTATCAAATGCTGTTCGCTTCCTTTTGTTTGTTGTCTTATTGCCGTTTTGGAAGATGCCTAGTTCAGAAGGGTTCCGTATAATTGTGCTTTTGTAAGGCTGTCCTTCCGACTCAAACCAGTACTCCCAGTCCGCTGAAACTGTTGCTGTTTGCTGTGAATACCCGGATGGCTTCCTTGCTCCATGGAAGACTGCTGGATTTCTGAAGCCTCCATTGAACTCTGATTGAGGGACTCTGCTGAGCTGTTGGGGCTCACGTCCACGTATTCTCTTTTCAGTACTGGGCTATTTTCAATGGTTTTGCTACTGCATAACTGGACGGTGATCCTTTCGTTTTTTTGGTCTCTTGATTCTTTTGTTTTGTAAGTGGGCAATTTGTCCTGTTTACAGCTAGTGCTGATGTCAATATTCAGGCCACTGTCTGTTCTCAGGAAGCAAGAATCCACAAGTCTGCTTTGGCAGATGTCGTCTCCCTCCGAGCAGCTATCTGCTTTGTAACTAGCATAGATGGGGCTTGTTCGACTGTCTCCTTTCTTAATCGGGCTGCTGTAGTACTGCTCTGAAAAACTACAGGGCGACAGCCTGCCAGCGTTCCTGTATGAGTACGCCCCAATGTCCTCCACGCTCAATTGCCTCCACCGCCCAGGCAGGTCTTCTTCTGAAAGGTGGGCGCTCCTGCACTCATTCCTCATTTTCTGATTCGCCAAAGCCTGCTGTGGTGTTATGGCTGAGAAATGGAAAGGTTCGTTTGCATAAGGAGGCAGAGTCCTAGTAAAAGTGGGCGAGTTCTCGTTGTCATCGGCAAGCTCCATGTGCTGCGCAGGTTTGGGCTTGGCAAACCTTGGACTTCCCTGATGCTCATAACCTGCAGGTGACTTTCTTTCAAACAGCTCGTCGCGGTTGCTCATGTAGATCGCTTGCTGAGAGGCTGTCAGAGTGTTGGCTTGGGCGTTCTCCTTCTCCTCGGATGTGACGCTGAAGCTGGAGTAGGAGCTGGAGGTGGGCAGAGAGGTAATGTACTCTGGGAAGGCTTCGTGAGAGAAGCTGGAATGGAAACCGTCTTCTTCAACGGTGCTGTCCGTGGAGTTCTGGGACCGCAGGAACCCCACATCTTTCACTTGTGTGTCCACACTCTGCCTCCTCTCCCTCCTCCTCTCCTCGGGGCAGTAAAGGGCGGTGTCGCTGCAGTAGATGTCCGTCTTGTACTGGGGCCTTTGTCCAAGTTTTCCAGCAGAGTCCTGAAAATTGAGATCCCTTGTAGATGGGCTTGACAAGTGTGAGGACAAGCTGTTTGGATCTGGCTTTTCCAGTACTTTGGCAATGACGCAAGTGGGTATGGTATCAGCGTAAGATGTGTGGCACAAGGGGACAGAAAGGCTGCACCCGTGTTTTTCCAGATGGATGCTGACTCTTTCCTGAAAGTCAGATGGCAGCTGTAACATAAAGAGATGGCAAAGGGGACAGGAGAAAAGGGTGCACGTCAATACTGGTATCTGCTTGGGCTTATACAACATTGATAAATGAGTGCTGTTTACGACATTGCACAGCTCACTGTATAGAGTTCTTTGACTAATGTGATGGCCACAACCTCTTTGAGCATTTCTGAAAACAAACGTAATCAAATGACTTTCACTTATTAACATTTGGAAACCTTAATCTGCTTCCCCTCATGGAAAACAACGTGAAACTGAAACGTTTGGATAGGAATGATGTAAAGAAATGTAGTAAACCATGATCTTAAAAAGGCAGGTAGGGAATTACCACCTACAGCGACACTTTCTAGATGGCACGCATGGGTGCGATTTGCAGTTGGGGTTGGGGAATGTGGAGGTCACTGCTGGGGTGAGGGTAGAGGAGGAGGAGATCAGATCTACTCTGTTCTTCTTTTGCCTTTCTTTGAGCTCATCTCTTGCCTCCAACCTGGTGCTAAATTGGCTCCTGCCCTTCGGTGTCGCATCCGATAAACAATGCTGTTTGAAGAGGCAGGAAAGTTGGTTTCACTGGCACTTAAAGCAATGGTACTGGCTGCTGTGACAGGAGTGTTCCTGGGCCGGGAAGAAGCAAATCAAACTGGTTACCTTGCCCCAGCACCTGGACACTGCTTGTCAGATCAACCGTCCTTATAAGCCTCGATGCACCCCTCGCTTCCAGCAGCTGCTACCTGAATGTTTTTCTAGTTTCTTGCTGCACTGACAGAAATATGAGGTAAGATCTGAATTTACATTACGATTCCTGGAACTGACTAGCCAGAATTAATCAATATGTCTGTTACGCATCAGAGACCATGTAGTTTTTGGAGAAGACAGGGTCAGCTCTGTGGATGGTGGTTCCACCTGCCATTCTATCAGGTGGACCAGAAGAGACCAAGAGCCTGCCTTCCTTGGTGCAGCTCAAAAGCATGGCAGGTAATGCCAACACAAATATTACCAAGCATGTTTACCAGTTGGGTCTAATTTGCATTCCTCCTTTCAAATCTCTACCAATGATCAGGCAGCGATATGAGAGAGTGCTGCACGATGGTTGTCTCTCAGCATTTCTTACTGGAAATCAAAGGAACTGAAGTTTGGACTAAGTTTTGAGTTTGTGACTGTGATATCTCCTTTGATATCCATGTTGATTTACACCACTTAAGAATTTAGCTCCTGAATGCTTGGCTGAACACTGATTTACTTAGGACTTTCTTTTTATAACCAGAAATGAAGTTCCTCTTTAACATATAATCAGAGGTTATAGCCCTAACAATTGCACTCCCTCCTTAACTTTGTTTCTCTAGAGGAGAGAACCCTACAAATACTGAAGTGGTTTCCCCCCGTCTTCCCCCATCTCCATTCCAGGCAAGAGAAATCTAAGCTGCCTGCTTAAATTAAGATATGGAGCTCTTCTTTTAGCTTCACTGGGAAATTTTTAAATTTAGTTTAATCCTCAAAACTCAATGTATTCAAAATATGGCATGTTGTGAAATGACATTCCTTTTAATGTGGAGTAGGATGAGTGCTTTTTCAACCAACAGACCTTCCAGGATATTTTGAATTAATCATTATGTTGTTAATTATCTCATATGTCTTCCATTGGAAATAAAGAGCACGATATTGCCAATCTGCTGGCAGACAGCAATATTAGTCATAGTAAGTACAAATGCAATGAAGATTGAATAAATGGGTTTTAAAATAGGGCTGCTGTAAATTGCCACAGTAATGAGGAGAAGAAATACAGTTCATTTAATGTGAAACTGCTGTATGGGGCAGCTATTTTTATTTTTGTATCCTATAACACCACCGTTTGATCGATTTTATATACATTACTTAGATTATGAAATGTCTTAAGAAAAAGAACAGTATTTTCTGTTGCACTGAAAACTGGAATTGCTAAAATGATATCGCTGTCACATTGCTATATTGTGCTATAGTTTAGGCTTCTGGATAATATACAATACTTTATCAGGCAACATTCACATTTTAAGGAATTCATTTGGCTGTGACAACGCATTCACACTTGCTAAATTAATAGATACTTTGACTTATGAGTGGGAACTTTGCCTATTTAATTGCATGTATGACAGTCTGGGAAATTGTGGGGAGATTCCACATTCGTGATAGTTTTCTGCAAGTGAACCACTAAATAATTTTAAGGTCCTAATTCTTGCTAACATATAGGGTGCATTCAAGTGTGAGTAATGTCATGATAACTCCTGGATATGAGTTACTAAGGGAAGCCAGTTACTAGGAAAAAAATAACAGGATTAGGATAATGCTTAATTTGGAAGTTCTGTCTCAGTTCCAGAAAATCATTGCCCATTTGACAGAAAGGTCTTGCTCTGTCCTTATATACCAGGGTTGTTTAGTGCTTGGAAGCAGTCTACTGGTGTAGAAATGGTTTATATATTCCACATTCAATTTGGCATCGCTCTGTCACAGAATTGCACAAGAGACACCATTTGGGGGACATTAAACTGATGGGATTGATGAAGGAAAAGCTTTTCTCCATGACCTTCACTGAAGCAATACACATGAGGAAGGTGCTATTGCTTTGTGTAGGGCCTGCATCCCTAAAGACAGTCTTGTTCACTAAGATAATATTTGCCTCCGCCTTTAAGGAGTCTGTTACTCAAGTCTCGTTTCCTTGGAAGCGAGGTTTATTAATTAAAGTTTACACCTTGGAAATCAATCATTCAGTGCTCTGGTTGCTTTAGAAAAAGATATTTGTGCTGTCAGTCCATTTAAAAATTGAGGTTTAGAAATTAGCTGGACTGGAAAATAGCTTCAGGAGGAAAATTGATTATATCAGAATCTCTGATGCCTGTTGTTCCCCTGCTTTCACTCTCCCTCCTCTGCCCTCCTCCCCCAGCATTTTGCAGTTTAGAGTTCTCAGCAATTTGGTTGTGCTAAAATCTTTATTTTTCATGTGATCAGCACTAGGTCCATTCTACCCAACAGCAGAGGTTTTGGGGAAGAGAGTACCTCCAAGCTCCATTACTAGCTGGGATTCTGTCAGCACCTCCCTCAGCTGCAGAGAATACGAGCAGAAACACAAGCCCTCCTGCTCCTTAAAGGGGGAAGGGGTGCAGAAATAAAAGCCTTAAGGGCAAACAAGTTCTGGAATTGATACATGTAAAATAACCCGTTTTCCATAAAATATTTATTTCTTTGAATATTCACCAAGTTTGGTCACATTACCTCCGAAAGCTTATGTGCCCTGTCGTAATTCTTGCTGCACTGGAGCAACTGAGCAGCTAAATTGCAGTCCTTCCTATAGAGCTCCTAGAAAAACAAAAAAATAGCCTGTTTTTTAAAGTTTGCAAACAGCTTGTGGCTTTCAGCCTTTCTACCATGCCTGAGCAATCTTTTAAAAATTGACTTTGGGAAAATTTGGAGCATACTTTTAAATACATTAAGATTCATGTTTCTTGCATGGTCCTGAAATGCCCTTTTGCTCCGTGAGGGCTGATAAAAATACTAAAAAGAAAAGTTTGAGAACTGTTACTACAGAACAGTAATCTACTTTTCAAAAGATGGATACTTACCGTTAGGAACTGTACTTTATATTGTTAACATGCACGATGCTATGGAGGCTAAAATAAACATGATCTTTTAAGCAAAAAGAAAACTTAAGAGCAGACAATTTTTACTGTGTATTATCCAAATCAGCAGTAAGATACTACTTTAGAAAATGCTTAAATAATCCTATGAGACTGTGGGAGAAATTCATTGCAGAACTATACGTTGTGTTGTATTGTTTTTAAGAAGAAGGTTGTTGCTTCCTTACAAAACTTTCTTCCTGGTTCCTGGCTCTTTTCATATCATGCAGAATGCAGCTATACAAATATATTAAATCTCACTGCAAATATTTGATTCTGCAGAACGGGATATTTTTACTGGGTAAGAAATTACCATGAGAATTCCACACAGGGAAAAAGAGAATTTAAACAAGCCGCTTATACTATTTTTGTATTGAATGGCTCCCACAGCCTGTTTAATGGGAAAATTCAGTACATAGATTTGCCCTTCGCCTAAATTTAATTTAGCACACATGACTGTAAGTGTATCCTTCAACCAGTATCTCTGGGTCCCCGGAGGTAAGAGTTGTATGTTGCTTCTGCGGATCTAGGTGCTGTTAAAAACAAAGGTGGCTTCAGAAATTTTATTTATAGGTGTGCATAGATGAGATAGACAAAACATAAAGGTACTGTGGACACAAGGCCGTGTTAACCTTTAAAAATTAGGAAATATTTATAGAGATAAGGTGTTATATACTGAAATGTTATAATTTTATTGCATGAAGCTTTTTACTGTTTCCCTTGTTCTTTTAAAAACAGACAAAGAAATTTTCTATGAACAGGTGGAAATTCCTTCTGTTTTGAAAAATAATTTTAAAGGTATTGTTTAATAACAGGTGCAACAAGATGTTCCTAGGAGTCTTTGATGCAGTGGGGTAGTAAATGTATTTTTCCTATGACGATTAGTTCATTATACTGTTGTTTCTAAGTTTTTTTATACATGTCACTTCTGTCTTAAATGTAGCGGTGAGATAAGTTCATTTATGTAGGTCTTAATTTTATATTAGTACATACTATTTATATTCCTGAAAAGAGATGTGAACAGTAGGAATCCGAGAATTCGATTTAGAAACAAAATCTGTTGCATGTGATTCTGACATGTTACGTGCACATTAAACACATAACATGTTGCTGCACAATGGACAGAGCAAACAAGTACTCCAAGTCCCATATGGCATTACTAGTAGGCACAGAAAAATGAAATCGCTCCAAAATCTAATCCTTTCTTCAAAAGCTGTGAGGCTCTGTTTCTGTGAAGCGGTTGTCATGGAGAGCACAAAAAGTGTTTCTGACACTTTATTTTTAGCAGCTTTAAAAATTACTACAGAAAAATAACATGCAAGTTGAATGTGCCACGTGTACTTTGTCCTCAGCATGCTGGGACATGCCATGCTGCTGGAGGGACTTTCTGTCCTTTAATGTTTATCTAAATGGAAACTAGCCACATCTGTGGCAACTAGAACAACATTCAGCAATTAATGCCAAAAGAGTTTTCCATAGTCTAAAACAAGTTTTTTCACCAAAAGCATCATTTTGCGTATCTGTCAGAAGAATGAGGGGAAATATAATCAAATGAAGAAAGTATTGGTAGGACAAAAATAGGTTCTCTGCATCTAGGATTCTTCAGTTTAATGCTATCTCTACTTATTAGGTATGATATTAATGGTTTGTTTCATAGTTCTTTAAAATTTGGAAATTAACCTTTACTTCCATTAGTGACACTACATAACTAAGGGCAGAATTTCATCTGTGAATCGACCTCAAGCATGAAGAAGTGGTACTGTTATTTGAGGCTTCTGGACCATACTCTAATGTTCAGAGTAGTTTAGAATAATTCTTGGAAGAAGAGTACTCCAGTCCATCTGAGCTGCCTTTTAGAAACTATGAATATTTAAAACACTTCTTCAAATGTGGGCTCAAAGCTGACTCCATAAAGAAGTGTAAATGCATTAATACTGACTGCAGAGTTTTAAAATCCCCCCCTTCCCAGGTTTAAAATGGAAATAACTTCACTGATTTCAGCAGAATTAGTCTGGATGTATACCTGTGCTTCTAAAACCTAAATATAACCCATTGCATTTACTGTGTTCTGTTAGTTACAGCAATTAGAGTTATCTTGTTGTTTCAGCATAATTTCTATAAAAGTGAAAAAGGGTCAGATTGTGAACTCTTTGTTTCCGTTGGAAAGCTGTTAATTGCATAGGAACAATTCACATCAACAGGCATATTAATGGGATCAAATGCTCCCTGCTATGATTAAGAGTTTGTATGAAATATGGGAAGACTGAATGCAAGATGCTGAAAAATAAGTGCTAAGAGAAACATGTTTTCTGTAGATGAATTTTTTATTAAGTGTCTAAGGAATGGCAGGATAATGAACTAAATGCTGGCAATCTTCTTTCCTTTACTGTCTTTTTAGGTTTGTCCCTGGAAGGTTTTCCTAAGCGTGGTTGCCAGCTGCAGTACACGTGCAGTACACAGTTTTCAGCAGTGTTTAATGAAATGCCGGGTGACAATCGCCAGAGATGTTCCCCGTGTCGTTCCACACAGAGACAGGTAAATTGTTGCACTTGAACCACAGCTGGGGAAAACCTGGCCCCCACTCCCTGCAGTGATTGCAGTGACCAGGTTGGACCAATCCTTCCTTCTGCTATCTGAGCTCACTTGTGCTGGGCATCCCATTTCAGGGAGACAAGACTGAAGGATCAGGGGGGCTGCAGGAAATATCGTGCTCTAATCTGTGTTTTAAATCCTGATGATGAATCCACTAACCTTACATGTGTTCACCTAATACCTCTGAGCATGTGTTTCCACCAGTTTGCTGTACTAGACTGAAACCCATGGCAAAATCAATGTGGGGATATTGCCACGTCTTAGATTTGTTTCTTCATCAGTTTTAAGTTAAACATAAGGAAAAAAAAAAAAAAATTAAAAGTCTCACCCCAACCCCATAGCTTAAGGATTGCTGAATTTACAGAATGATGGGAACATCAAACATGAATTTTAACTGTCGAGGTGGCAAGTTACATTTTACATAAACTGTGAAAAATTATTCTATAATTCCACGGGAAGTGTATGGCATAATTTATTTCTGAATATAATCTCAATAGGTATCCATAATAAATACTTACATTGTCTTCTGACAACTTATCTATTGTCACCTTGGCCTCTATTAAGTGATTATTGAGTGCAATTATTTCATGGCTCAAAGCCCGTTTTTCCTCTTCGTAATGTTGACCCTGTGTAGAAAATGGAGTAGTCAGTATTTTTCCTACTGTCAGAATACTTCAGAAAAAGGCCCAAAGGTTGATGTCATTCTTAAATCCAGGGAAAAGCACAACAGACCAATAGACCAATATTTCTTTTTTTTTTTTTTTTTTCTCTGTTTTCTTGCTATTTTCACACAACAGATGAGGCAATGCACCTTGAAAATATGGAGGTCAAATGGAGATCACATTAGGAACCTTCACAAAAGGCTGTAGGTTGCCTCTGCAAAAGCATTCTATTGAGCACCAGCTATTCCTTCTTCATCACAAGGCAGGGTCATCGAACCTGGAAGGGACTTGGGCTGCTCTTGGCTTTTGCTACAAGAATCTTTCATTTACGCCATTAGTTTCCATTCTCACCAGCGAGGAAGAACAATATTTAAAAAGGAAAGTAGTTGTGTTTAAGCCAATTTCTTTTTAGCTGTTGACTGTACTGGCTGCTTTAAAAGCCCTGAATGAGGTTGTTCCTTTCTCAGGATGAATGTTTGCCTGATTGTGGGGTTAACACTCATTAGCGGAATGTTGCCCGCTGTGGGATAACAGGAAAATAGTCTGATTCAACTTCTTGCTGCCCACTGATTTAATCTTGTTACCAGTAGGCTGTAACTCTTTATTATAAATGCAAAGAAATCACTGGGAAAAGTGAAGTGCCACTGACCCCTCCTATATTGTGTCCCATTTTTGTATTGCAGTGCTTATTGCACCACCTCATATATCAATAAATATTTTTTAGCAATCTTTTATAACCCTGTCTCCAGCCTTACGTTAGGATTAAAACGTATGGTAGCTTCTGAATGTTTTAGTTGAGATCAAGGCATCTTCTTTGCTCTCAGAGCTGTACAAGACCATGATAACGAGAAGGTTTGCCAATTATCTGGAGGGATGCTTTAGTAAGCAGCACTGCAATTAGAACAGAATGTAGGGTAAACTTTCATGTGCACCCATTTTGTTTCACAAACTCAATCCAGTGACAAATTCACAATCTGACTTCCCGTTCTAAAATTGTTAGAGTAATTTGTGAAGGACTTTCTCCAGCAGGTTGATTGTATTAGCTACTGATATTTCCCAAATGCCATATTGCCAGGGTCACACAAAAATCTTCCATCAACCCACAGCCGGCATTGTCAGCTAATTGACAGCAATGGGAGTTGTGTGATTCAAAGTCCGAATGAATATCAAGGTTAATTACCCAGCTGCAAAGCACCAGGCTATATTAAAAAGGGGTGATTGAATTGGAAGAGGCAACTCTCATCCTAAGTTGCTATTTAAAGAAAAACACCTTTTCAAATGGTCTAAGCAAACCCACGGCTTGCTATAAACAGCACAGATATGATTGAAGTCTCTTTGTGAAGGTCTGGACTGGCCTGTTTTAATGTCAGCTTTTCTACAGACCATCTGTTCCTTCTGTTGCAAGACCTGAGTCCTGACAGCCCAGCTGTGCCTGGAGGCTGGCTCAGGCTTGACACCTCTCCTAGTTTCATTCCCATTGATCATAGAATGGCTCCAGTTGGAAGGGACCTTAAAGATCATCGAGTTCCAACCCCCCTGCCATGGACAGGGACACCTCCCGCTAGACCAGGTTGATCAAAGCCCCATCCAGCCTGGACTTGAACATTTCCAGGGATGGGGCATCCACAACTTTTCTGGGCAACCTGTTCCAGCGTCTCACCACCCTCACAGTAAAGAATTTCTTCCTGATATCTAATCTAAATGTCCCCTCTTTCAGTTTAAAACCGTTACCCCTCATTCTGTCGCTCCACTCCCTGATCAAGAGTCCCTCCTCTCTCTCTGTGGGCCTCCTTTCAGGTACTGGAAGGGACTATAAAGTCTCCCTGGAACCTGCTCTTCTCCAGACTGAACAATCCCAACTCTGTCAGGCTGTCAGGTGCTCCTTCTGGATGCCAGGGGACTCTGTCATGGAGAGCCAAAGCATAGCTTTGAGAGCTCACAAGAGCTCCAACCTCACTAGTTTTAACAAGACACGTAGTCTTAGAGGCTGTGTTTTGTGATTAGGCAGATCGACATGGTTTTATATGAGGCCCTTAATGCTCATTGATTTTATTGTGAAATAAACAACTAGCCACTTTGTACACCTCCTGGACATCTGGACACCTCCAGAAATCTCCTTTGAGAGTATGACAATTTAAAAGGTATTTAGCTGCGTAATGAGGTAGACAAGTGCTATATTGGCATCTCCAACTACTGAAGTACCTGGGAAAGACGTGTACCCTCAATTTTCCAAGTGATTTCATGCTTTTGAAGGAGCCAGGCCCACTGAATACAGACTAAATCTTCAAAAATACCCATTTGTCTTAGAGATTTTATTGATCCTTGTATGACAAGTTGTCATCAATGCCAGGGCAGATGATTTGGGATCCCCTTTTGCTCTAAGTGTCTGATTTCAATGAGTGTTGCTCTTGCCTAATGAAATTGAACTTGACTCAGTATGTTTTACAGTTCAGGAAAGATCATCTGATCAAGGATTTATAGTCTTCAGCAGAGAGAGGGCAGCAGATTCAGGCTTTGGAAGCAATAGTTTCCATTGCATTGAGTAATGCTGAGTCTGACTGAATTATGGCTTCATTTTATTTCAGTTATGATAACTTTGGGACTGATTTTTTCCAGACTTTGTATCTGACCAAGTGTGACTTTATAAAATATTTTATTTTTGTTGAACTGTAAAATTTGCCTCAGTCCAAATTTATACTATATAGGGCAGCAGAGAGACACCAAAGCCATAAACATCTCAGGAGTGCTGTGGAGGAGGGGGAATGAAAAAGAAAGTCCCAGTCTTTTCCACCAGTACACGTTGTCATCTTTCTCTTGAAATCAGTGTTGTTGACATCAACAAAGAGTCTGTCCCACTGTGGAAAAAAGAGGTAGCCTAAGGGTGGACATAACCTGGAAAGGCTCTGGCGTATTGTCCACATACTGTGTGTCCATCTTTAAAAGTTCAGGGCTTCAGCTAGATGTTATTGTGGTCCAGTGGTGGTAATAAGAGGACAGGGGCTTAATCCTGACACCGTCTTGGGGAAAATGGTGCAGCTGGAAGAGATGGCGTGGTAGTGCTGGGTCACTGCATTAAAAGGATTGCTGGTTACTTGGGACAGTAGCTTTGAGCACTCCATTTGCAGTCAGAAAATCATATTTTCAGCATCAGGTACAGATGTCAGAGAGGGATGAAAGGAGGACTGGAATTATAATATTAGTGCTATGATTGTGAGTTATAAGGAAAATAAGCATTTCTGTTTATAACTACTTTTGGCAGGTCCCTCTATTTCTGGTAGTTTTTAGATGCTTGGTCCTCCTGCTCTTCCATAAGGCTGGTGACCTCTCCTCTTTCCTTTTGGCAATGCTTTCTATTCTGCTGGTGCTAACAACCTGTCTCTCAAAACTCAATAACAGATTAAGTTAATGGTGCTATTGATATGCCAATAGCTTGCAGCTGGGCTGAGAGCTCCTGAAGTCCACTTCAAAATACCATAGCTATAGGCTGCAATGGGCCGAGCTCCTGGTGGATCTTTGTTCAGAAATCTTTGTTGAGTCAGCTCAGTGCATCTTGCCCTTGCCTCCTACCCCGGCACACAGCCAACACAAAAGAATACAGCTCCTTAGTGTCTGACTAACTCGACAGAACTGCAGTCATGTGCCCACGTCTGAGTCAGATCAGATTCACACTGCTGGGTGTCTCCAGCAGCACACAGCACTGATATTAACGTTGGGGGAACCAAGCACTCGGAGCCCTTGCTCCTAGCCTGGATTTAGCGTGAGTCTCACCACTTCCCAGATTTGATGAAGGAATTGGGTATTTGCTCTTCCCAATGTGATCAAATAATATAATAAAAGACTTAATCTCTGTCTGGAACCCTGTTTTTCTTATAATTTGTATCTATCATAATGACAGTAACCTTATGTATTCACAGATCCATAAAAATATAAGGTGGGCCTGTCAAAAGTGTTTGGTATCTTCTAGTCCCTAATCCCCCTGTCATCTGTAGTACAAGTTGGGTGAAAAGACTTTTGGCAGGTTGGTACAGCACAAAATAATACATAAGTGTATTTTGGGAGGCAATGAAAGCTGTTTGAAAAGACCTGATTTTCTTGAGTATTAGTGGAACCACAAAAGCCCCTACTCTCATCCTTTGGCAGAAATGTAGCAGCCTAAAAGTTGTCCCTGGTAATGTTTCAGTCTCCCTTCAATGGTTTCCAGCAGCTGGAGAGTGTCCTACCATAAAGCAGTGTCAGCCTATTAGTCAAGGCTAGGCTGCTTACTGCCGTCTGCTGTCCTGCGGGAGCTCTGGGTTGTGTACAGACCTTTTGAAATCAGTCTCAATGTTGCAAATGAGCAGTGCAGGTCTGTGGAAATGTCAGCCTTTTCAAACACGGCAAAGGAAATCTGTTCTTGATGTTGTTTTAAGGAACATTTCAATGGATGGCATTTCACTGCTACCGTGAGAATAACATAATGGTAGTAGTGGCCATCAAAGCAGGCGAGCAGATTTCTTTTGGAAATACCTCTTAATATGTAATGCCTGAATGATAGACAGAAAGGGAGAGATTTCTTCTGTTACAAATACCACCAAAGTGGCACTGGTATCCCATCCTGAATGCCCGGACATTTTTCGATGTGGAATACAGCAGAACTTTGTTCCCTTTTGCCCTTGAGGAGGACAGCACTCCCTCTGAAGGGAGGGTGCAAAGAAGACAGAGCCAGGCTCTCCTCAGCGGTGTGCAGTGACAGGGTGAGAGGCAATGGGCACAAACTGAATCATAAACAGTGGCATCTGAACACCAGGTAACCCATTTACTGTGAGGGTAACTGAGCTCTGGAAAAGGTTCCTCAGAGGTGTTGTGGATTTCCACCCCTGAAGATATTCAAAAGCTGTCTGGACGTGGGTGGGCAACCTGTTCAGGGGGCTTGAGCAGTGGTGTTGGACCAGATAATCTCCAGAGGCCCCTTCCAACCCCAACCA